AATGATCGAGGTTGTTATTGGAGACGACGTTGTGGTCTTGGTGCTAGGAGGTGAGGAAGGGGTGAACAGCAGTTATATACTGCGATATAGGAAATGAAATATTCAAGTGCTGGACTTCTTCGTTGTTCTTTTAGTAGAGATAGAATGTTTAGCTATATGCTATCTAGTGCGTGCTCTTCTTTAGAGCCATTATAACTTTACTGCTCATGTGACTTCTGTTGTCATGAACTGACTCTGCCACAGGATGGGTTTATGACGAGCGACGCGAAATCGGTTGTTATGAAGGACACATCTGAATTGAACTCTATATAACAAAGAATTTTTATGTTTCAAATGTGTCTGACTTCTAATAAAGAAAGTATAAGTCTATGTTCTAGAACCATAATGAGATAGAACTGACTAAAGCTATGGACCTGTATGTCAAGATTCTCCCACAAAATAGGTTTGGAAAAGTTTTGATCATTAGCTGCAACAAATCTTAAACACAATCAATGGTACTATCAATATATTATCATCTAGCTGAAACCTTTTTTAGCTCAAAAAATGCATAAGCTTCCGAAAATGGCTTTTCGCTGTATTATAGCATGAATAGATGGTGACGGCTGGAAGAAAAAATCGCGTCATTCTACCGCCTCCTGGGCTACTGCCCTCGCAGTTGAATTCGGGGTCATCCTTAGTTGCACTCTATGTGTCTGGGAACATTCCGTAGTCTCTAGTTTCTGCCCGCTTCATATCATCACTTTTTAACTCAATATTTGACACGTTATCAGCTTTGATAGCGCTGCAGGAAATTCCGACATTATTTTTTAGACGAATGTATTAGCTCTGCTTTTGAAATGCACTCGACTTTTTGTGAGCTTTGTTCAGCCTGTGATGTTCTCATAGGCCGAGAATTCTGAAAGGATTTGTTGTTGTGAACAATCTTATACATATATACACATTCTATTCTTGCACCTTAGCACGTCTATACCACCTTTGAATGAAATATTTCGTTATTAATTAATATCCGTTTTCAGAATGAAGCTCGCTGCTTTCGAGTCCT